TAGAATACCATGCAGCTGACAAAAAGAAAGAGGATACTCTGGATAAGGAGATAAATAAAATGATCTTTCGGCTGTATTGTTGGGTGGAAAATCAATGTACAGAGCAGTGTTTCTGTGCAAAGAGCAATTAAAATAATAAATATTCTTAAATATTAAGAATTATTATATACATCTATTTAAAAGTGAGTATACATATTTACTTATATATGAATACAACAGCCCTTAAAGGGTTGCTCATGGATCTCATGAACTGGTTGCCTCCAGGGAAGGAAACTGGTAGGTAAAAACAGGGATAAGAGGAAATTTTCACTGTATACCCTTTGTCCATTTGAGTTTTATAACACTGAAATGTATTATTCCTTCTAAGAAATCACATTTAAATAAGTGTGTGTGTGTGTGGGGGGGGGGGGTTAACCTTAAGGCTAGGGTGTTTCCCACAACTCCATCAAGTGACCAGAGCTCATAGCCTCAGTATTGACATGTAACCAAGGACAGCCTTAAGCTGACCAGTGAAAAAAAGCCACGTTAACTGAAGGCTGGTCACTTGGAGCCCAGCAGTAAGCAGGCAAAGAGAAAGTTTTCACTCGTGTTCATCCAGTTCTGTTCAATTAGAAGCTCATTGATTTTGCCTTAAATACAAGCACTGAAGAGGTGCTTTGTAAGGTGGGGATAAATTTCCCTCAAGCTTGTCCCCTTCCCTCTGCTCAGATATTACATTTCCCACAGGAACTACCAATTGAATTGGTTAGATTCTCAAATATCTCAATTCCACATTTAGGTACAAGGAAATAATTCCACTATGTTTCAGAATAAGAAAGTAAGTTACAGAACCATATTCAGGTGAAATAGTCTATGCACAGAGAGATATTTAGATATTTTGACGATGTTTCAGCAATATTTAATTCTTTACCTGAACTTACTGCGTTGTTTTAATTTCTTATAATAAGCAAGTAATGTTTTACGAAAAATAAATTATTTCAATGAGAAAAATAGTAAATATCATTGTCTGTCAAGATTTGATGATACTGATATATTTAGCCTGACGATAAATATGTCTAGATGCAAAACACACTGAAACATTACCTATTTTACAAAAACACATAAACCCACATCATTAGGATGAGAACCATGGTGGTAAGTCAGAAATTTTATCTATTCCAGTTTATATGTTACCTACAAATACACTTTTAAAGTTCCCCAGCATTCATGGGTTTTTAAGAAAAGCTTTATTTAAGAATTCTATGCAAAGACAGTTCATTAGAACTACCTCCAGGATACTGAGTGACTTTGATTCTTTCAAAATTGTGCATTCCAGGGACTCCCTCAACCTGTCCCAACTTGTTCTGCCACTAGCTGTGAGGGCAAGCTTTGCTGGGTGAAATAAAGCATAAGGTTCCTTTTCAAAGGCTCTGTGTGGCTTAACATCACTTTCTTAGATTAGGATGCGAGGGTACCAAAAGGCAGGAAGATAAAGAAAAGTCACAGAAATATGCCATGTCACTTTCATATAGAAATAATGGTAGGTTCCCACTGATGACCAAATAGAATGAAATAATAGTAAAGTGTCAGCAACATGTTGAAATGACAATGGAAGGGAAGGTTTTCATTAGATTCAGATAAAAGGAAAGTCTTTCAAAAAGACACCAAACCAAATAACCAAAGAGCAAGCACCAGTGGACTGAAAAAGCATGGGTTCGTTTTGAACTTAGAATTAGAAATAGCAGTAAAAGGAATCGAACATCCATTGGTGCTCAGAAGAGTGTTGGGAGTTGTAGGAAAACACAGAAGGGGAAGACAAGGATCTTTCCCTTCCATCAAACATGTGAGGGGAGAAAGTGAGAATTTAGCCAAGTGTTTAATTGGAAAACAACTAGAAATGCAACTGACGCGCAGAGAGGGGAGAGAGGTATGGTAGGAGATGTCCCTGGAGACCTCGGATGTGGAGAGGACCAGAGATGAGCCCCGGAACTGAATGTTTACCAGCAGGAACTTCAATGGCAGAGAAGAGAAGGGGCAGAAAAAAACTCTTCCTCACCTCAAGGGACCAGAGACAAAGCCCAATTCAGGGGCCCCTCCGCCTTTCTAACTTCCCAACATCTGCTTTCATATGACACATGGGTAAAATAAAGAGTAAGAAATATCAAGATGTTAATAAGAAAAAGAGGTGTCCTAAAGCGTCACCCTTCAACCTGAGAGGTATGGGGGAGCGGGGGAGACTTGTCAGGGCTGGCCGCCTGGGAGGAAGGAGGACGACTTCCAAGAAGCAGGACACAGTAAGGCAATGCTGCAGAGATACCTGTTGTTACCATTATTACGTCTATGCTCACACCACCCCCGCCCTGCCACACACACACTTTTGAAAGTCAATAAACTGAAGCTTAGACACGATAAATAGTCTGCCCAACATTTGAACTCACATTTCTCTAACTCAGCAGTTCTCAAAACTTTTGATCTCGGAATCCCTTTATACTACTAAAAATTCCTGAAGAATCCAAATAGCTTCTATTTATGTGGGCAATAGAGACAGAGACAGAGGTAGAGATAAAGACAGAGACAGACAGAGAAACATATATATTTACCAAAGTAGAAATTTAAACTGAGAAATTGTTAAAACACAGGAATACAAAAGCACATATTCCTTTAGCCATCAGAGCAACGATGTCCTCACTCATCATAGAGCCTCTAGAAAGCTCCCTTGTACACTCATGAAACAAGAGAGGAAAAAGTAAACAGCAAGTTAATATTATAATGAAAAGAGCTGTGATCTTGAAGATCCTTTGAAAGGATCTGACTTCCCCAGGGACCTGAGATCACGCTGTGAGAACTGCTGTTTTAACCTCAAGTCTATGTTTTTCCAAGACTAGACCTTGGTACATTGAGTGAATGACCTTCACAATCTGGCTCTAAGCTCCCTTCACTGCCTCAAGTCCCACAGTTTTTGCTAAGTCTCCCCAAACTAGCCATACCAGAATAAACCCTCTCCCTGAAAAAAAATGTAGAGTCTGTGCTCAAGCTTCTTTGCAGGTGGCCATGTTGTACCTTCTGTCTGGAGTTACTTCCTTCTCTCCTCTTAGGGGTTCCCACTCTAGATTTCAGGGCTCTGCTGAATGTCACCCACCCCAGCCCCAGACAGATTTGATCACTTTCCAGGGATGGCACTTTTCTTTTACCCCTATTCATTTCACTCTACTCCATTGTTTCCTTGTGAGTTGGTCATGTGTCTACTTCCTCTTCTTTCACCCCACCATCCTGTAACGAGCACCTACCCAGCAAGGAGCTCTTGGAAGACGCCCAGAACCTGAGTCTCCCTGAACTATGGGGGCAAAGAAACTATGTGGCACGTGAATCTTTGATCCCTCATTCCTGGCACCTGAAACTTATTCAAACCTGTTTTATTTGCTTTGTCTAATTATTCTGAAATGATGAATTATCACTGGCTGATGGGACTGTGGGTGATATTATTTTCTTTGCACTTGACTGCAACATATTTTTACAATTATAAATGTTATACAACATTAAAGTGTTTCTCTATAACTTAGCTGCTAATAGTCAGGAAACACTTATGTATGACACACAGCTCTATGAGCTTTATATACATATTAATGCATTTAATTATTTATACTTTTAACAGCAGAAATAAGTAGAGGCATGAATATCCAACTAATTTGTACAGATTCTTTCTATATGGTATTCCATATGTGCATAGTCTATTGTTGCCTATAACTTGCATATCTTTGTGTTATCTTGGCTTTATCTTCATGTTCCAAATGGAAGATTCCAGACCTTCTTTGTGTCCCATTTCCTGAATTCCTCATGGAAGATTGCTCATTTTATGGTCAGGCAATAGCAGATCGTAACATCAACACACAAACCTAGCACTTTAACTTTGCAGATCTCAATTAGCAGAATGTTCTCCTGGAAACAAATACATCTCTCAGTGGCCACCAGGGAGTCGCATTAACTGGTTGCGTTCATAAAGTTCAGTAAAACACTTACGAGGGAATGTTCTCCCTGAAGATGGAATTCAAAATGGATCGTTTTGTAAAGGATTTTTAGCTCCTAGAATAACCGGAAAACAGAGTGTTTGAAGTAGTGACATGACACACTACTCATTACTAACAAAGGGCTCTCCTCCCCTTGCACCCAATCTGAACTACTCATTTCTGTGGAGATGCAGAAGCTTCTGCAGCAAGGAAAGAAAGAATGGGCTAGAGTTACTGTTTAATTGGCCACAAGCTGGATACCGGCTGTCGGCTTGGCTCCGGCTGTGCTGTGACTATCAGGCCTGAGGTGATCATGGTCGCAGACTAAGCTCCGTGGGTGCCCGCTCGCTCTGTGATATCCACAGGCTGGCCCTCCCTTTCCTCTAAGAAGGCCTGTGGTCCTTGCGGCATCTCCACTCCAGAGGAGCCCGCTTCCTCATTGACATGCAGGGAGCGCTCCCATAAGCAAAAGCTGCAAAGCATCATTACCGTGGTCGGGAGACAAACAACACTCGCACGGCATACCAAGTGGCACCACATTTAACTGAATCATTTTATTATGAATACATTCCGGGCTGCCACTGTGAGCCACTTGCCTAAACTATGCCGGCAAAATGGATCTTTGCTAATTACATTTCATGCATATTTCAGATCTTTCCATGGGGATGCAGGAAGATGGTGTTCATAAAAGGGAATTTTACAGCCAGGTTCACTTGCATTTGGCATCAAAACCCAAACTAGCGGGTAACAAAGGTAAGTTCAATTACATTCCGTGTTGTGTTTGTTTCAGCTGGAATGTTTCCTCCTAGTAACTCTATCAGTGCTGCTGTGGTCACTGGTTGAAAATGAAATCACTCTTCAAATCCACCTGAATACACATTATTGCAGAAATACACACAGTTATTAAATCATTTCTTTTCCACATTTCCTTTTCTATATTTGTCCTTAGATTGAATTAAGGAAATAAGCCTCTGGATGTGGGGACATGTCAGGAGAGTGACAGAAAAACATCATTACCTGCTTCAAGACTGAATTGTAAAGCACACAAGTGACTGCTTTCTTGTGGCTTTTCACCCTCTTGCCGGAATCACTTTTCACTGCCAGCAATGCTAGCTGGTTATTAAATGAGATGAAAAGCCGTCCGTGGGCTTCATCAAAGTGGAAGAGACATCTGAAGTCCTGACTTTTGGAGAAAGAACAAGCTATCCTCTGGATGGACAGCTGGTGCCGAATATCCCAGAGTCTCAAAACCTGCATGAAACGTAACAAAGTCACAGGAGTATGTCAAGAATAATTCTAATTTTTTAGCCAGATTTTCTCTAGCTCACCCTCGATCCCAGGCAGGCTCTGCATAGTGCTGTAATTGTTCACACTTCTCTCATAGCACATATTTTTTGTATTTTCCTTCTCTGTTTCAGTATCTCCTCAACCGTAATCTCTTCTAGGGAAGGGACTGTGTTTTGTCTCAGTCCCCAGAAAAGTGCCTGCATTTAGTAGGTGCTTATGATAGGCAGAGTAATCACCTTCAAAGATGCCCACTTCCTAATCCCTGGAAGATGTGAATATGCTATCTTACATGCCAAAAGAGATTTTGCAGATGTCATAAATTAAGGCCTTTGAGATGGAGAGATTATCCTGGTTGATTTGGGCAAGTCCAATGTAATCACAAGGGAGATCAGAGTGATGGGATGTGAGATGGACTCTACCTAATGTTCCTGGCTTCAAGGAAGGAGAAAGGGGACCATGAACCAGGAGAGCTGGAGAAGGCAAGGAAACGATTCTCCCCCAGAACCTCCAGAAAAGAAGACAGCCCTTGGAGTACCTTGATTTTAGCCCAGTGAGACCCAGGCTGGAATTCTAACCTACAAAATATTAAAGGTGTGTTGTTTCAAACCACTGAGTTTGTGGTTATCTGTCACAGTAGCAATAGAAAACGAATACAACCTCTTTCGATAGGTAGATAGATGATAGATAGATAGGTAGATAGATAATATATGTATATATTTTTTGATGAAATAAAAGACTTGTTATTAAATGAAATCAAGTTCAGATAAAACACAGACAATTAAGACACAAAAAATGACATGCAGATGGAACAAGATAAACACTGAAGGAAATGGGAAGAGCAGCTCTGCAGATGCAAGAGTTGCCAACTGTCAGTCATGGTGCAGAATTAACACAGGGCAGTGAGGGAGAGTCAGAGTGAAGGCAGCGAAAATCCTCTCTAATAGGGGCCAGCAGGCCAGCTCTAGGGCCAAGCTTTTGGGGTTCTGATTTTGGCTTTATCCCTTACTGCAGGGTGACCTCTAGTAAGTTTCTTTGTCTCTCTGAGTTTTCGATGTGGTACCTACCTAATCTGATGCTATGAAGAGTGAATGAGAGCCCATGTCAAGCATTTAGCATGATGACCAGTATGTGGTCAGTGTTCGGTAAATGTTTTTTTTTTCATTATTAAGTGTATTTTATTCTTTTTATTGTATAAACATTAGAACCTAAGAGCAAAAAAGTTTCTTTCAAATAAACTAGTGCATCTTATCCAGTATGAGAATTATTTTAAATTATCTATAAAAGATGACCTCTGTTTACACGAGTGTTTATTACTCCATAGGGCAAGCTACCCAGTAGTTTTTAACATATTTTAAATCATATACTCCTTTGGGGGAAAAAAAAAATCATTTGAAAACGATGGTCCATCCCCTCCTCCTAAATGCATATACCCATACGTGCACACAATTTTCCACATAATTTCTTTGGATACATAGACACACACATCTCCCATACATATCCTGATATCCCATGGGATAGGAATTCCTAGAGTAGTCATTATGATTAGCCAAAGATGTCCTCTTCTACCTTTTGATTCTATCCTACTCTCTTTTCCTACATAAGCCTCTTCGTATACCTCTTTGTTCAGGGTAAATGGGCCCAGTTCTTTCAACATCATAACATCATTTTTAGATCCCCCTCCACCATGGCAGCCTCTTGATTCTCTCACTTTGTCCTTTTTTTTCCATTTTCTCTCCAGGGGAGGATGGTCATCAAGGCCTTGTTTACTTTTTTAAAAATATAATAAGATATGTCCATGGTGTAAAATGCAATAGCACCGAAGGGATTTTTCTTCAACCCATCCCTCTCGGCCTCAAGTCCCACTCCTCAGAGACAGCCTTCTTTAACTTTTTTTTTTTTTTTTTTTTTTGCGGTACGTGGGCCTCTCACTGTTGTGGCTTCTTCCGTTGCGGAGTACAGGCTCCAGACGCGCAGGCTCAGCGGCCATGGCTCACGGGCCCAGCCGCTCCGCGGCACGTGGGATCCTCCCGGACCGGGGCACGAACCCGCGTCCCCTGCATCGGCAGGCGGACTTTCAACCACTGCGCCACCAGGGAAGCCCTTCTTTAATTTTTTTTGAGTTATGGTTTTCCCCGTAACACCAAATAATAGCTGTGTGTGTGTGTGTGTGTGTGTGTGTGTGTGAACACAGCATATATTAATCATACATTGAATGACATTCTCCTCTGAAAGTAATGCAGTTACTTACACTCATTTTCTCCCTTTCTCTTCCCATTGCCCCAATCTAAACATTGTATTTTTTTAGTCCTATTGTATTATGCTTTAAAATAATACACTTACACATTAATTACCGCACTATCAATATAAGACAGTATCTCTCTGCTCACTAATATGTAAAATGAACACCTTAGGGTCCTCAAGGACCTCTTTAAGCAAAGTGCTCAGAATTGAGCCAATATTTCAGGAGTGTTCTAACAACAGTTACAGGCACTGTGACTTCTTTAAAGCAGCCTACTTTTACGTGAGCTGACTAAGCCACTCCAACATGCATTGCCCTTACCTTGGGGTCCTGACTGAGCAAAACTAAATCTTATTCCCACGAACAAATAATCAAGCCAGACATCTACCATCCTACCTTCAAAAATCTCATGTTGTAAGCTAAAACTAGGATTTTTCTAGTTTCAAAGTGTAAAGATATAATCTTGAATCCTAATTCTATTATATTGATAATTCCTCCCTGATGTGTCCACACATCCCATGGAATACAGTAGATGGTCAATAGATATTTTCTTAATTTGTTGAAGGTTGTGGTTCATTTAACAACTACGCTTTTATCCCACTCACCGTTAAAAATATTAGCTAGGATAAGTCCAAAAATATAACACTTCGATAAAAAAGCTTGCCTCACTTCTACATGGTTATTTACCCAATTGCAGATCTCATCTAATTCACATTGAAATTTTATGAGACTTTTTCAAACATCTTGCAGAAATGAGTATGCTTGATGTATAGGGTAACCTCTCCATTTACTAACACTTATAACAAACTTAAACTGACCTAAATTCTACCAGATAAGCAGCATTACCAATCCCTCTAATCCCAAGAATATATATTTATAAAGTAAATTGGGTTTTCTTGGCAAGAATTTTTTATTAAACAACTTATTCTAGTTCTTAAACCTTACTATTTTTATTTAAAACATTCTGGCCACTCTCCAGAAAATGTTTATCCTCAAAAATATAAACTCTATAAGAACTAAGACTTGCAAATATATTTCAAAGTGTTCTAAATATAAATAGGATTGATAAGCTATTATTTTGAATGTTAAAACCACATAGATTAGATGCATCTAAGATTAGATGCATCTAGATCATTCTCAAACACTCATATAACTCACAATAGTCATATCAGCATTGTTCAAAATCCTGTCTTGTTTGGTATGGACTCCCTCCTAAAAAGCTGAAATTAACTTCATTTCAGAAAAGTACTCTGGGGCATGGTTGAGTATAGATTAACAATAACTCAACAGTATTAATGGACTATAATTTCCCCAGAATCATTTTCTGCATGTTGTTCAAATCATTTATGTGAACTTTAATATTTCATTGACATTTAGTCACATAAATTAAATGAAATATTAAAAATAGATGAGTGATAACCTCTACTCTATGACAGGTGAGTTCTTGCTATTAGCAATTAAAATTAGAGGTGCGTTTTTTAAGCAAAATGTGTATATTCATTAATTTTTCTTAAAATTAGTTTTTACTTTTCTTCTTTCCCCTCTTCACTTGAAGAACCCTTGACTCTCATAATTAGTGATCCTACTAAGTCCCCTTCCATCTTTAATTCTCTAATTTTTCTTTCTACTGAGAACCAAAGCCAACAACATTTATATACTGTCATCAATGTACAAAACAGTGTTTCAGCATTCTCCCAGAAATCATATCATGGTAGGTGACCTCCCATATGCTTTTCAATTTTTTCTACACTTCACATTCTATACCAGTGGTTCTTAATCTTGACATTAGAAACACCTATGCTGTTTAGAAATTGCTTATGTTTGAGACTTTTCTCAAACCTATTAAATCAGACTCTCTGAGGATGGGGCTCAGGTATTAGTTTTTTGGTTGTTTTTTTTTTTTTAATTTCTCAAGTATTTTCATTGTATTGTACTTTAACTTCTCAATTTGGTTTTAAGATCAATGCTAATCTCCTTGAACAAGACATCTTTCTCTCAGCTTAATCAGTAATACCATGTGGCTTGGCTTTAAACCAGATAACTGTACTCCCCTATTCAGTCTATATCTTTTTAATCAAGAAAAAAATCTCACATTAATTCTATTTTATTAATCAAGTCCTTTTGCAAAATATCACTTAAATATCTAGTTAATATTTGAGAATCCTTGATTTTCCTTTTTTTGTATTCAAATTGACTTCTGAAATAGAATTAGGTCACATTTCAGAAAGCAGTATATTTAATATCATTTTCCATTCCGATATCCTAGAGAAGTTTTCTTTATTCTTAGTAGGAAAAATAAAGAAATTGGTAAACACCCAGGCTTAAAAATTATAATTGAGGAACTGATTATTTTTTAATCTATATTTTCCAAATATTTTTATCTAAACTGTACTTTTTATTTTCATCATGATACCTGAGAACTTGTGATGCTTGTCCAAACTCAGACTTACTAAGCCTAGTCCTTGAAATGCTTTACATAGGGGCTCTTTACTTCATCTCCATTTTTATAGTATTAGGAGGAGTAAGCAACCAAGCTTGTGATTTTATATCAAGGCAAAATTTAGCTTTTCACATAATGATAAGGACTTATTTTTCTACTTAATCTTTATCTTGTTTCAACTGTTATCCAGTTAATAATGCAGGATTATAAAAGCAAATCCTGTATTATTCATATACACTAGCACTAGAAACCAGTGGATTGGGACTCCAGACTCCAGACATCTCG